GTTTCCTCCATGGTCAGGTGGTCTACTTAATTCAATAATGGGATCGCCTGTGTTTGCTCACTGGTGATCTATGTTCAAACTCAAGTCTCGGCAGTGACACTTTATTTCTGTATAACACAATTTTTGTTAGAAAATACTTTATATAAAAGTAAACAGACTTAGTAACCATAAAATTGTATTAGAGATTAGTGGGATTTGTGTTTTATATTAAAAAAGAGGGGGATTAAAATTCTTGACATAATATAAATGAACAGAAGAAAATAAAAATTAAAATAAAAAATAAAAAGATGAAAAAAAGGGAAGGTTATAAATTACAGTAAAAATTAATCTGGATCAACGTATTTCAACAGATATTTATTTTTATGCCTACATGTCACCATCAATTCATTTCTCTTGTTTAATAAGTGTTATTTAAGTGTTTTATTTTTTTACAAGTCATAAATTACATTTATCACCACTCCCATTGTAAAATTTGGTTTTTGCTACAATATCCCACTTAATAATGGGCGTATTACTACAATTCTTTAATTGCTAGAAATGTTCGGAGAGATAGAAACAAAATTTTCGATGATGATAGAAACAAAATTTTCAAGGATTTTCAGTGTAACACAAAAGTTGACATTATTACCGGGATGTATGCTAGCTCAGTATAGAATATTATCAATCAAACATTGGCCGTTTAAGGGACAAATCGTATTTTTCCGTCAGTTTCATTTATTTTTTAAATAGTTAAACGTTGTTGGACATATATTTATTTAGTATAATGTTGTTATGTTGGAATATTGATTCATCGATGTTTTTAAAACCCTAGAACACTAACCCATGGTTTTAAAAATGTTCCTATTTTTAATTACAATTTTCAGTACCTGATTTTTTTACCTAAATAATATGTTTTTCAGTTCCTATTAATGTTAACTCAAAGTACAAAGTTTGAAATGCCTGCATGTCAAATATTTCAAATAAAGATTTATATCTAAAATTTTTTTTTTTGATATTTTCAAAATCGGGTATGATATACCCAGGGTTAGTAGTGGTGTAACTTTAATTGATGGTTAGTGTTCTAGAGTTAACGCAGCTATAGTTGATTGTTATATTATTTTGGCTAAAAGATTTCTTTAGTATTGTGATTAAAGTGTTCCGGAATTAAATATAGGAAAATTATTTCAATATTCGTTTGAACTTTATGATTATAAAGGTGAGGGTTAAACTATAACATATTACGGTTTTTTTCTTTAACTTTTTTGATTTTATCCTAAATATTCTAAATTTACTTTATGCCTGCTTAATTCTAATGCTTTTATTTAATCAATTTTATTACTATCAAATATTTTCTTATTGCTTAAGTAAGTAGATAATCTAACTTGGACTGATTTGCATAAATTATGTAAAATATTGGATGGTTGGACCCATTAATGTTTCTGTGGTTATGTAGTTTTTTGGTATATAGTTTGTAATAACCAGTACTTAAGTCCAAAAGTTGATCACTTTAGCATTGGTGGTTGTAGTAATTTTTAGCTCATGATCTTTGAAAGATTTTATCAGTTACTTTCTCGATCGGTCTATGTTACTTGGACTTGTTTTACGGTGAAGAATTACACCGTATATCTTTGAAAAGTCCGGTGTCCTTAATGTCGAAAATAAATCTTAATCGCCTCAATAACAAAATTCCAACAGTTCGCATGCTTCAGCAGAATCAAAGGCACCCGAAGAAATGTTAAATTCTGTGTTATTTCTTTTGGTCCACAGATAAGAATTATGGAATAATATAGGTTTTTGCTCCTGCTTTATGATTTAAATCTCGTGATCCCTAATAGGACAATAATCTTCAGCTAGATTAATGGCAGACATTAGCAGATTCTTGGTGATGGACGGATAAAAATCACAAATACCAAATTGGACGAACATACATTCTATCTTCCTTTTTATATTAGTAAACAATTCTATGGCTTCTGCTGTTTTATGTCACTGGTTAATATTATATTGAGCATATTTTGTGAATACCAGCACTCATTGTGCATCAAAGACGAAAAATTAAATGCGAATCGAAATATGTTTTATTTTTAGATGCTACCTGGATTTTACTAAAAACAAATTACTTACCATGTCTGAGGATGGCTGTATGTACAGTTGAAAGTACTTGCACATTAAAAAAAGACTTTATACAGTGTATAATTATTAAAAACAAGGATCATAACATTCATCGAGTGATTTGTAGGTTAATGCACCTTTAAAATTTTGTTTGCGAAGAGATTTCGCCATTTTATATCATTAACTTTACTAAACTACTTTTTGTATGAATGATTCATTGTAATATAAATTGAACTGCACCACATATTTGATATATATATATATATATATATATATATATATATATATAAATTAGGGGGAGTTTGAATAATCATAATTAATTTATGGAGTCTACAAGAATCCTCAACAGAATGCAGAAAGTACTGGACGGCCGTTTCGCCTATTTTTGGGACTCATCAGCAGTACGCATCCACTACCGAGAATTGAACCCGGACCATTACCCACTGGACCAACGGGCCTCGGTGACGGGGAGGTAAAAACCAGATTCGATATAGCGCCGTCGTGTGACACATCCGAGTCTACTTATACCAACGGACTGTGCCCCCATGAGCCACGACATATATCCCCAAGCCGCTCCATCCGGAGCATTACAAACCGATTCAAACAGTGATATATATATATATATATATATATATATATATATATATATATATATATATATATATATATATATTAAGGGAATGTTAATAATCATAATTAATTCATCGAGTACAGAAGAATCCTCAACAGAATGCAGGAAGCACTGAACGACCGTTTCGTCCTATTTTTGGGACTCCTGCAGTGGGCATCCCCTACTGAGAATTGTTACGATACGATATGACGCAATCGTCATAACCACTGGACCAACGTGTCTCGATGACGTAGAGGTAACAAACCAGACTCGATATAGCGCCAGATCTTCACAAATTCCATTTGTTATGATTATTCAAATCCCCCTTAATTTCTATATATATTTGCTTGGTCTATCTATCTATCTATCTACCTATCTATCTATCTTAGTCTGTGTTATGGGACCTTACCCATAATAACATAATGGACTATTCCATACGTAATAAATACTGCGCCTCAAGAGGAAGCAGGGGGTTCCGTCTGAAGTCTGGAGTGAAGTCCGTCAGGAGTCTGTCAGTCAGTCAGAGCGAGCGAGTCAGTCAGTCGAGTCAGAGGCAGACCGACACAGAGTCGTGTTCAAACAATTACTACTAAATCTGATTGTTCGAACTAACACTTCTACTTCTCTGTATATATTCCTGTTTGTAATATATCTGTGTTATTCCATACTTGTGTTCGAGTTCTTCTTTATTGGTTCTACCTTGGACTATCACCGTGGTACAAGGAACCGGACCATAACAGTCTGTTCATTATCTATCTATCTATCTATCTATCTATGTGTACTCCATTTAACTGCCACATATGATTTGTAGTTAGGATGTTACATTCGTTATTACAATTGGTTCTCCACAATGGAAATTACTTTTGACTTACTATGTATTTCTTTCTTGAAATCCTTTTAAGTCTTTCTCTGTGCGTAGACAGTGACCTGGTGAAGTCATGAATGTATAACCAAAGGAATTGTTTTTCAAGGTGAAAAGAACCCTTTCTTCTACAGTCACTTAAAAAAAAAACTTTGTGACATCTATAGCATAAGAAAATGCGTAGACAGCCTTGTCTTTGTGTCAGTGTGAAAATCACATAAAGGTGATATTTCTATATCATAATAAAAATCTTCAGAGGGCAAAATTCAATCAGCAAATAAATACAAAGCTAAAATAAATGACTAAAAAAAATCTAGTTTCAATTACCAGCACATTCAATCGAAGTAGGATATTTCCTTCTTTTCAGTATTTATTTCTGAGGCTTCAAAATGGCGTACAAAGAATAATGGATGTGATGCAACTACGCATGCGCAACATGTCCAAACACAATATATTTAGCAAGAAGGTATTGAATAACCGCTAATGGCCTTTGTTCAGTTTAGTTGATGATTTATTTTATTGACGTAATCGAAGGTGAAGGGTATTGTCTATATTTGGTTCATGATTTCTTTTGAACTTAAGAACTTTTCAAATAATAATAATAATTAGTGTTATTATTAATAATGATAATACTATAATTGTGCTTGTCCTTCCATTCGTTAATTCGCACGGCCGTTACGCTCTGCCAATACCTCATAAACAATGGACTATTCCATTTTGACCGCGTGGACACTACTTGGTTTCAGTGAGAAAATGAAGGGAAGATAGATAAATAGATATTTAGATAGATGTGGACAGAAATAGATATATAGATTGCTAAATAGATGTGGACAGTATTAGATAGATAGATAGATAGATAGATAGATAGATAGATAGATGCCGGGGTGAGAGAGAATCAGATTAAGCTGATAATAACAGGTACTACACTTTGATCTTAGCCGAAAGGCCGAAAAGCAATTGTATTTCTTGCTGCCTGATGCTGACAGAATGTGACAAAAGGTCATTTTAATGTAAGGATCCCGAGCGTATGCACCCGGATCATTTCTAAAAATACCAGACACCCCCAACCAACCCGCCCTGCAACCTTTATCGGTATTTCTACCGATCTCCCCACTTTAGTGCAATGAGGGAGGACTTTCAACGGTCAGCTGTTCCTCGTGACTAGGCACCTCTCAGTAATATTTTCAATAGCGCTCTGTAAACAGATAAAGACATAACTATGAGATGTAATTTATCCGGCCGAGAGAAGATATTGCCCTTTCTTATAAAAAGGCCGAGAAGTGATGGCGATAAAATCCTCATTTTTCGTATGTACGGTATTTAATGGCAGAAACCGAGTAAGGCAATCGCCAAAAATCCAGTTACCATAAAAAAAATAATCGGCTGCTGAATTATTTTAAAATTATGATTAAGGGAAATATTCGTAAGAGAGGGATTTGGCTAGAAAGAAAGAAAGAAAGAAAGAAAGAAAGAAGAGAAATGTAGAAAGAAAGAAAAAAGAAAGGTGAAAAACATTTGCGGAAGGAAAGAAAGAAAGAAAGAAAGAAAGAAAGAGATATGTAGAAAGAAAGAAAGAAAGAAAGAAAGAAGATAAAAGTAGAATGAAAGAAAGAAGAGATATCTAGAAAGAAAGAAAGAAGAGAAATGTAGAAAGAAAGAAAGAAAGAAAAAAGAAAGAAAGAAAGAAGGAAGAGTAATGTAGAAAGAAAGAAAGAAAGAAGAGATATGTAGGAAAAAAGAAAGAAGAGAAATGTAGAAAGTAAGAAGAGAAATGTAGAAAGAAAGAAAGAAAAATGAAAAGAAAGAAAGAAAGAAGAGAAATGTAGAAAGAAAGAAAGAAAAAAGAAAAAAAAGATAGAAAGAAGAGAAATGTAGAAAGAAAGAAAGAAAGAAGAGGAATGTAGAAAGGAAGAAGAGAAATGTAGAAAGAAAGAAAGAAAGAAAGAAAGAAGAGAAATGTAGAAAGAAAGAAAGAAGAGAAATGTAGAAAGGAAGAAGAGAAATGTAGAAAGAAAGAAAGAAAGAAAAAAGAAAGAAAGAAAGAAGGAAGAGTAATGTAGAAAGAAAGAAAGAAAGAAGAGATATGTAGGAAAAAAGAAAGAAGAGAAATGTAGAAAGGAAGAAGAGAAATGTAGAAAGAAAGAAAGAAAAAAGAAAGCAAGAAAGAAAGAAGAGAAATGTAGAAAGAAAGAAAAAAGAAAAAAAAGAAAGAAAGAAGAGAAATGTAGAAAGAAAGAAAGAAAGAAAGAAAGAAGAGAAATGTAGAAAGAAAGAAAGAAAGAAAGAAGAGAAATGTAGAAAGGAAGAAGAGAAATGTAGAAAGAAAGAAAGAAAGAAAGAAGAGAAATGTAGAAAGAAAGAAAGAAGAGAAATGTAGAAAGAAAGAAAGAAAGATGAGAAATGTAGAAAGAAAGAAAGAAAGAAGAGAGAGGTAGAAAGAAAGAAAGAAAGAAAGAAGAGGAATGTAGAAAGAAAGAAAGAAAGAAGAGAAATGTAGAAAAAAGAAAGAAAGAAGAAGAAGAAAGAAAGAAAGAAAGAAAGAAAGAGAAGAGAAATGAAAGAAAGAAAGAAAGAGTAGAAAGAAAGAAAGAAAGAAAGGAAGAAGAGAAAGCAAGAAAGAAAGAAAAAAGAAGAGAAATGTAGAAAGAAAGAAAGAAAGAAAAAAGAAAGCAAGAAAGAAAGCAAGAAAGAAAGAAGAGAAATGTAGAAAGAAAGAAAGAAAGAAAGAAGAGGAATGTAGAAAGAAAGAAAGAAAGAAGAGAAATGTAGAAAAAAGAAAGAAAGAAGAGAAGTGTAGAAAGAAAGAAAGAAAGAAAGAAAGAAGAGAAATGTAGAAAGAAGGAAAGAAAGAAAGAAGAGAAATGTAGAAAGAAAGAAAGAAAAAAGAAAGCAAGAAAGAAAGAAGAGAAATGTAGAAAGAAAGAAAGAAAGAAAGAAAGAAAGAAAGAAAGAAAGAAGAGGAATGTAGAAAGAAAGAAAGAAAGAAAGAAAGAAAGAAGAGAAATGTAGAAAAAAGAAAGAAAGAAGAGAAATGTAGAAAGAAAGAAAGAAAGAAAGAAAGAAGAGAAATGTAGAAAGAAAGAAAGAAAAAAGAAAAAAAAGAAAGAAAGAAGAGAAATGTAGAAAGAAAGAAAGAAAGAAAGAAAAAAGAGAAATGTAGAAAGAAAGAAAGAAGAGAAATGTAGAAAGAAAGAAAGAAAGATGAGAAATGAAAGAAAGAAAGAAAGAAAGAAAGAAGAGGTAGAAAGAAAAAAGAAAGAAAGAAAGAAGAGGAATGTAGAAAAAAGAAAGAAAGAAAGAAGAGAAATGTAGAAAAAGAAAGAAAGAAAGAAGAGAAATGTAGAAAGAAAGAAAGAAAAAGAAGAGATATGAAGAAAGAAAGAAAGAAAGAAAGAAGAGAAATGTAGAAAGAAAGAAAGAAGAGAAATGTAGAAAGAAAGAAAGAAAAAAGAAAGCAAGAAAGAAAGCAAGAAAGAAAGAAGAGAAATGTAGAAAGAAAGAAAGAAAGAAAGAAGAGGAATGTAGAAAGAAAGAAAAGAAAGAAAGAAAGAAGAGAAATGTAGAAAAAAGAAAGAAAGAAAGAAGAGAAGTGTAGAAAGAAAGAAAGAAAGAAAGAAGAGAAATGTAGAAAGAAAGAAAGAAAGAAAGAAAGAAGAGAAATGTAGAAAGAAAGAAAGAAAAAAGAAAGCAAGAAAGAAAGAAGAGAAATGTAGAAAGAAAGAAAGAAAGAAAGAAGAGGAATGTAGAAAGAAAGAAAGAAAGAAAGAAAGAAGAGAAATGTAGAAAAAAGAAAGAAAGAAGAGAAGTGTAGAAAGAAAGAAAGAAAGAAGAGAAATGTAGAAAGAAAGAAAGAAAGAAGAGAAATGTAGAAAGAAAGAAAGAAAAAAAAAGAAAGCAAGAAAGAAAGAAGAGAAATGTAGAAAGAAAGAAAGAAAAAAGAAAAAAGAAAGAAAGAAGAGAAATGTAGAAAGAAAGAAAGAAGAGAAATGTAGAAAGAAAGAAAGAAAGAAAGAAGAGAAATGTAGAAAGAAAGAAAGAAAGAAAGAAGAGAAAATGTAGAAAGAAAGAAAGAAGAGAAATGTAGAAAGAAAGAAAAAAGAAAAAAGATAGAAAGAAGAGAAATGTAGAAAGAAAGAAAGAAAGAAAGAAGAGAAATGTAGAAAGAAAGAAGAGAAATGTAGAAAGAAAGAAAGAAAGATGAGAAATGTAGAAAGAAAGAAAGAAAGAAAGAAGAGAGAGGTAGAAAGAAAGAAAGAAGAGGAATGTAGAAAGAAAGAAAGAAAGAAAGAAGAGAAATGTAGAAAAAAGAAAGAAAGAAGAGATATGTAGAAAGAAAGAAAGAAAGAAGAGAAATGTAGAAAGAAAGAAAGAGAGAAAAAAGAAAAAAAGAAAGAAAGAAAGAAGAGAAATGTAGAAAGAAAGAAAGAAGAGAAGTGTAGAAAGAAAGAAAGAAAGAAGAGAAATGTAGAAAGAAAGAAAGAAAGAAGAGATATGTAGAAAGAAAGAAAGAAAAAAGAAAAAAGAAAGAAAGAAAGAAGAGAAATGTAGAAAGAAAGAAAGAAAGAAAGAAGAGATATCTAGAAAGAAAGAAAGAAAGAAGAGAAATGTAGAAAGGAAGAAGAGAAATGTAGAAAGAAAGAAAGAAAGAAAGAAAGAAGAGAAATGTAGAAAGAAAGAAAGAAAGAAGAGGAATGTAGAAAAAAAGAAAGAAAGAAAGAAAGAAAGAAGAGAAATGTAGAAAAAAGAAAGAAAGAAGAGAAATGTAGAAAGAAAGAAAGAAAGAAGAGAGATGTAGAAAGAAAGAAAGAAAAAAGAAAAAGAGAAATGTCGAAAAAAGAAAGAAAGAAAGAAGAGAAATGTAGAAAGAAAGAAAAAAAGAAAGAAAGAAAGAAGAGAAGAGAAGATAGAAGTGTTGACAGCTGATTCAGTGAAATGGAAAAAGTCATGAATTTCAAATTTTTTCATTTCTACCCACTTTTTAAAATAACGGCCAACAGCGAAGCAGGCAATGATACACAAAATCATAATGGCGGTTCCCACCCCGAGAGAAAAAAAAAAAAAACGTAATCGTGGTTACCGCACCCGAAAATACATCGACCACATTGAGGACACATGTTTGGGAACAAACTCGATAGAATGTCGTATAATTAGCGAGGAGATTTTTGATAGATGTCCGTGGATGAAAAAGACATGACATTTAATTTGCATATCACAGAGAACCATCCCTGCACCCCCATGACGCTCAACTTCTCGAGAGTTTCTCTTTGCGACTGTTCGGTCTCACATTGTCTGCTGACCTGAGATGGGACAAATACATTGTGTCAATTGCTTCGTCCACTGCAAGGAAAGTTGGCTCCCTGTGCCGCGCCAGGAAATTTTTCTCCCCAGAATCGATCCTTCAAATCTACAAATCAACCATTTGCCCTTGCATGGAGTATTGCTGCCATATATGGTCTGGAACCCGTTCTAATTGTCTCAGGGTTCTTGATAAGATCCAGAGACGGATATGCAACATAATTGGCCCTGATCTGACATCTCATCTGCAGTCGCTCTCTCACAGACGTGCCTCCCTCTGTCTTTTTTACAAATACTTTCACGGTAATTGCTCCGAAGAGCTGATTTCGGTGGTTCCCAGACTTCATGAATTTAAGCATTCCACTAGTTAAATGTAGCCGTCTCTTCTACTCCAATAGCTTCATGTCTCGTACCTCTCGCCTGTGGAACTCCCTTCCCTATTCCAGTTTCCCTGATAGCTATAATCTCCAACTATTCAAATGTAATGTCAGTCTCCAGTTGCCTTGATCTATCCACTACCCTTCTCCTCATCTTTTCTTCTATCACTCCTATCTGATCTTGCTCCAAATTTTCTGTAACCCCTTGCGTCCTAGTAGCTTCTCGCCTTGCTTGGGGTGAAACGCTTAAAAAACAATATTGCATCTATAAAATAGGGCATCTTGTAAGTCGTAATCCAGGCATAAACAGCTTATACATATACCCTGACGGTAGAAATGTTTGCAAGACGAGAATTTAGCGATGGAAGGAAGAAAGAAGGGAAGGTTAGAAATGCTTTACGTCTCCTGTCAATATCCCATAAATAATAGACTTTTCCGTCTTGATTGAGTAGAAAAACAAAAGACTTGAATCACTACTTGGATCACTGAGAAAATGAATGAATGAAAGAAAGAAAGTTTGTAGTGTTTAACGTCTGTTTCAGTGAAAATGAAAAAGTGGTTAATTTCAATTCTTAATGCTTTTTTTTTAATATAACAGCCAGCTTTCGTATTTATGATTCTTATTGCAATATTTTGTTAAAGTTGTTAAGTTCAAATAAAAAAAAATATGACATTTTCTGAAGCTTTTATTCAGCAAAATAATATGCGAACGGAGCGATGGTGTATGACTATGACTGTTTGAAAATCATAGTCCTACATTGTTGTGGTCTTTTTAACTTCTTCAATTGTTCTGCAAAGGTACATGCTCGCACGAATTTTCTGCAACTTCGTATCCATACACAATACCCAACATACATAAAAGAATATTATTATTATTAGAAAAACACGTGAAAATTTCACGATTTTTCTATTTGAAATTTCCGATGAATTTTAATTCTTCAGCTAAGGATTAAATAAGCTTATAGCGAATTCTATAACAATAAAAGAGTTGATTCAGTGTATGATGAGTTAGAAGCCATTGTTAAAGTGCAAGACACGATCAGAATTAATAAAGTTTGCAATGAAAAGATAAAGAGTCAAAAAAAAAATGAAAGAGCAACAATCAGGCAAGCAAACAAACAATATAGTTAAAGCAAATCAAACTTGATAAGAAGGCAAAAGAATTCACAAACTAGGAGTTGGTGTCTGTATACAAAAGCAAAGTCAACCAAGCGAACACAGTATGTCTGTCTCGTAGTTAAGGTAGATCTGGATAGCGTCATCTCAAAACCCAGGCCGTCGCATTTTATTGGTTAAGAAAATATCCCAGCATGCATTCTGTGTCTTTCGGATTATAAGAGAGGGAGGGGGAAAACTTTTGTAATTATTCCTCCTCCCCCATTGGGCTTTGATTTCGTTCTTTGTTGGAAGAGGTTTTACATTGGTTAGAAACTTTGTTATTGTGAGTATTATTTTTGTTACGTTTGTCACTGTTGTCACAATTGTTTTACTGTGTGAATTTCTACACTCCGTTTTTATTGGAACTTTTTTTTGTATTTTTGCGCTGTGAAGAGGCTAGGTCCACAATGGCCGATTCGCCCCAGCAAAATTAACCAATGCCCACTCAGCCATCGATATCGGCATGGGTGGCAGATAAGCCCACAAAAAGGCCCACAATACTACTTGGGCCTAAGAGATGAATACAGTACTTTCATCTCTGGACATGAAATTTTGCCCATATCTTCCGTTATGGGGGAAATTTTACCAAGGACAATCTCCTTTGTAGACGTCAAGTCGAGAAAATTTATGGCTGGCAGCAGGGAAGTTATGGAAGAGGCCCTAACATTGGGGCCAAAGTATTGGCCAGGAGATCCAATGCAATGTGGGACATCCTGCTGGCAACAGAAGAGGCGGCGAAGACATTAGCAGGGAGAATCACCACCACCAAGACGCTGAGGCTCCAGACGAAGTATATGGGCACACGGAAAACTAGGATAACTTTACATGGGGTGCTCATGTATAATACTGAGTACCATTTGAGGGTCTTCTTTTCGGACTTCGGATCGGTAGAGTGGGTATCCGCAATCAAAGGAAGTCGGGCATTGCCACCAGTTATTCTGAAGTCCTGGTGACATTGAACCGACCGAAATTCAGTGAGGTCCCTAATGCTATAACTTGCAGCGGCCGGAGCATTTTTGTGGTCGGCTTGTGGTACTGCCGGACACTTGGCAAAGCTGTGTCCCACTAGGAATCCACCACCAACAGCACAACCAACACCAGAGCAGACGAAAGTGGAAGCAGCTAAGAGGACACCCAATGGTCCTGGCAAATAGACTGAGGTGGTGAGTAGGGGAAAAAGCGACAACTCCGCAGGATGTCCCCAGGAAATGCTAAGCAGCAGCAGCAGTGACCAAATACCAGCAACACCAACAACTGCAGAAGTAGCCTGAGAGCGCAGCGTTATCCTCATCTTCATCATCAGCATCCGCAAAAACCGCAGCAACAACACAAGCAGCAGCAGCGAAAATCAGAACAGCGGACGCAGCAACAACACAAGCAGCAGCAGCGAAAGTCAGAACAGCCGAGGCAGCAACAACACAAGCAGCAGCAGCGAAAGTCAGAACAGCCGAGGCAGCAACAACACAAGCAGCAGCAGCGAAAGTCAGAACAGCCGAGGCTGCAACAACACAACCAGCAGCAGCGAAAGTCAGAACAGCCGAGGCAGCAACAACACAAGCAGCAGCAGCGAAAGTCAGAACAGCCGAGGCAGCAACAACACAAGCAGCAGCAACTGCCAGAGCAGCAACAGGAAAAAGAGCTCCAGCAAAACGAGCGACCCGTGCAGGTGGAGGTAGACCTGCCTCAATTGGATTTATATATGGAGGTGGAGGAAATGCCTCCACCTCGTTTTTAGTCCCTGAAAAGGGGGAGGGATGAAGAGGAGGAAGAGTATCTGAAATACTTGAAAAAGGAGAAGAAAACTGGTCGGAGTAGGGCAGAGAAGGCCCTGGTAGCCGCCAAAATCCAATCCGCGGCTGCTTCACCAGAAAGAAGCGAACAAAAATCCGCTCAAGGTAAGACCAGGAGCCTCTCTTCCTCTCCTTTTTGGGCTCCGCCTTCCCTTTCTCCCTCCCCCAACTCTTCTCAAGAGAGCAAAAAGAAAATACATTACCCTCAAAGGGGAAGAGCATTGTGTTGCGGATCGGGAGGCCCTCGAGAGGGACCTTTCTTCTCGGAGGACGGCCCTCTTGAGGCATCTACTTAAATGTACCTCTGTTGACAGGAAGTCAACGGAGGAACCAAGGAATTTTCCTGGTGTCCCCGGTGTAATCACTCTTCTTAGGAACACTGGGGGTAACCTTAAGGTTTGGGAGCATCTGGCGGCCGCCAAAGATGTGTTCCTAAAGTTCCGGATGGTCCAGATTGAAAATTCGGAGCTAAAAAGACCTGTTCAATTTTGTTCTGGGAGGTCCCCGGTTTTGCTCCACATCTCCTTACATTAAAATTAACTTTTCTTACAGACGTCCGCGGCATTGTCTCAGAAGGACGAATTACATCCGATATCAGCACCGGGAGTCTGGGACAATCCGTCGGGGTCTTGACCACCACAAATTTCCGTTCAGTCTGTGTTTAGGGAATTCTAGAGTTTAAAAGATGTCTATTAAGTTATCCAGTTTGAATGTGAGGGGTCTTGAGGGATCGTGGTAATACTGCCCGCCTGCTTCAGTCTTCAAGTGGTTCCGGCAGGGATCTGTCCCCGGTCGGATTTTCAGGGAGGGGGTGATCATGCTGTTGAAAAAGGGCAAAGATGGTGGTACATGTGAATGGGAAGCGGTCGAACGTTTTTTTGCTGTCTCGGTCGGTTCGTCAGGGTTGTCCGCTGTCGCCCTTACTTTACGCTTTTTCCCTCTTTCGCTGGCTAAGGGACAGGGCGTGCAGTCTGGCCCTACGCGGAATCCCCGTCCTTGGAGGTCGAGCCAGGGTTTTCGCGTACGCAAATGACGTGTCTATTTTCGTGCCGTGCCGTAGCGACATTCACGTAGTACAGTAGGCGCTTGGGCATTTCGTGAAGGTGACGGGGATCAAAATTAATCGAGACAAGTCATCCGGCTTGCGGTTAGGTACCTGGTAGTGGGTCGTTATTCCAAAATTCGCTTGAAAATGAAACAGAACTAGGGAATTTAATTCAATTTAATTCTGTAATTTGAATTTGAAGTTTTTAGCTTCTGTTTTTAAAATTCCTGTGTAGCTATGGAACCATATTTTAAATAAGTATATATATATATATATATATATATATATATATATATATATATATATATATACTACGAAATGGACGACGATTATTTTTCAACGTATTTTATTGTTATTTATATAGACAGAACTATTTAAGTAAATGCTCTGTTTATAATAAACAGTATTAACAACGTTTACCGGTCTGAACGTCCGAGAAAGTTTCATAGAAAATATGAGTCCTCCTACACGGAACCGTCATATAGCCTGACGTGCTATACCAGTTGAGCTACAGAGGAGTGTCTTGTTAGCAAGGTCGATTATAAAATGTAGTTTAAAATCAGTAAAATATCTACAAATTTTACAAATATTTAAATGACTTTTAACATTATAAGAAATATTTACTTTGTCCAATTGTTAGATTAAACTCTGAACCGTTGTATCTTAGAAACGATTAAAGATATCTTACTGGAACTATCCGAGGATTTTCTAACACAATTGAACTCTAAATTGAGCAGTATATATATATATATATATATATATATATATATGCAAACATGATTGAACGTACACACACAGCACACACACACACACACATATATATATATATATATATATATATATATATATATATATGCGTGTGTGTGTGTTCAATCATGTTTGATGATTGAATAATAATAGTAACCGTTTATATCGAGTGAAACCCCCCCGCCCTGGCCTTGTACAGGGTGAACCTTATTGTAAAAAAAAAAAAAAAATCCTAAGATTTGCAATCTTTCTAAATTGGTTCAGCGAAATATATCTTGCAACCACATGTTGGGATGAAAATCATCTATACTAACGATTTTCAATACAAAACATATCGATTTGAACGTTACCACGTGATTTCTACAGAAAAATGTTGTACACGAACGAAGTTGTCCTTTATTTCGTAATCGAAGATAAAAAAAAGTTGTTTTTATTCTCCTTATCAATAAAATCCTATCGACAGTTTATGGCTGTTGTAGTCGTTTCAAAGGAAAATGAAAACACCTCCATTTTGGCTTTATACTGAATAGATAGAGACGAATTGATTCGTTCTATTTTGCTTCCTGTCGATAGTCCTGTTATACAAGCACGTTTAACATTAGGTTGACATCGTTGTTAACAGGAAATTTTCATCAGGTGCCAGGCTTGTACTCCAGTGTAATAGACAAACAAGAAACATTTGAATCTAGCTCTTCTTTTTCTTGTTGAAGTCAAGAGAAGTAGGAAAAACACAAAAAGAAAGATATAGAGTAAACACCGGAGTAGGAGGAAGAGAAGGAAGTCACAAATGAAAAGAAAAGGAAGCGGCAATGGAAATGATCTTTCGCTTATGCATTTTTATGTTTTATTTTATTAAGCCTTTATGAGCCAGTATGGCCTTTATATATAGGTAGTGAAACGGTTATCATCGCCAACTGTGGAATAAGTGAGGGAATTTCTTTCTTTCTTTCTTTCTTTCTTTCTTTCTTTCTTTCTTTCTTTCTTTCTAACACTTCTTCCTTTCTCTTTCTAATCTGTTTAATCTTTCTTTTTTTTTGCCTGCTATGCTTCTGTTTTTCTCCTTTTTCTTTTCCCTCTTATTTTCTTTCTCCTTCCATTGCTTCCTTTTTTTCTTTCTAATCTGTTTAATCTTTCTTTCTTAGGTCTGCTTTGATTCTTTCTTTCTTTCTTTCTTTCTTTCTTTCTTTGTCTGATTTTCTCCTACTATTGTTCTCCCTCTTCTTCTTCTTTCTTTCTTTCTTTCTTTCTTTCTTTGCTTTTCTCCTGCTCTTGTTCTCCCTCCTCTTCTTTTTGCCTTTCTTTCTTTCTTTCTTTTCTTTTCTTTCTTTCTTTTCTTTCTTTCTTTTCTTTTTCTTTCTTTGTCTGCTTTTCTCCTGCTCTTGTTCTCCCTCTTGTTCTCCCTCTTCTTTCTTTCTTTCTTTCTTTCTTTCTTTCTTTCTTTCTTTCTTTCTTTCTTTGCTTTTCTCCTGCTCTTGTTCTCCCTCCTCTTCTTTTGCCTTTCTTTCTTTCTTTCTTTCTTTCTTTCTTTCTTTCTTTCTTTCTTTGCTTTTCTCCTGCTCTTGTTCTCCCTCCTCTTCTTTTGCCTTTCTTTCTTTCTTTCTTTCTTTCTTTCTTTCTTTCTTTCTTTCTTTCTTTCTTTCTTTCTTTCTTTCGTCTGCTTTTCTCCTACTATTGTTCTCCCTCTTCTTTCTTTTTCTTTCTTTCTTTCTTTCTTTCTTTCTTTCTTTCTTTCTTTCTTTCTTTCTTTCTTTCTTTGCTTTTCTCTTACTATTGTTCTCCCTCTTCTTTCTTTCTTTCTTTCTTTCTTTCTTTTTTTCTTTCTTTCTTTGTCGGCTTTTCTCCTGCTCTTGTTCTCCCTCTTCTTCTTTTGCCTTTCTTTCTTTCTTTCTTTCTTTCTTTCTTTCTTTCTTTCTTTCTTTCTTTCTTTCTTATCTAATGCAACACAATGGTCTTTATTTTCTCTCACCACCCCTCAACACAAACCTACATTATCTAATCAGACAAAAGAACCGGCGCTAATCACCAATTGACTTATACCCGCTTTGTTCACCTCTTTTTCTTCTTTCAACGTCAATAAATGCCTCGTTTTGAAAATGTAATGCGATATCATTACATTTTCAAAAGAAGCCATAAACATCCCCGCCCCGCCCCAATTAGCTGCAAAAACCATTTTAATCGAAATCGTTAGATTGCTTGTTGATCATGTCTCATCGAAATAGCCGAAAAGAGGAGAGAAAAAAGTAGACAAATTGAATGGAATGTCATTCCTCACTGTCATGGAGGAATACGAATAGTTCCAAGACATCGCTGGCTGAGGGAAAGAAAGAAAGAAATTAGAAGGACAAGCAAAAGAAGAGAGAGAACAAGAGTAGGAGAAAAGCAGACAAAGAAAGAAAGAAAGAAAGAAAGAAAGAAAGAAAGAAAGAAGAGAGAGGACAAGAGTAGGAGAAAGCAGACAAAGAAAGAAAGAAAGAAAGAAAGAAAGAAAGAAAGAAAAAAAGAAAGCAAGCAAGAAAGAAAGAAAGAAAGAAAGAAAGAAAGAAAGAAAGAAAGAAAGAAGAGAGAGAACACGAGTAGGAGAAAAGCAGACAAAGAAAGAAAGAAAGAAAGAAAGAAAGAAAGAAAGAAAGAAAGCAGACAAAGAAAGAAAGAAAGAAAGAAAGAAAGAAAGAAAGAAAGAAAGAAATATACTGGTGCTGTCATGGAGGAATACGAATAGTTCTAAGACATCATCGGCTGAAGGAAAGATTTACAGCAACATTTTCTCAGTATCAGTTAAAATTGATAAAATCTTTTCCTTAAAACAATTTTACACGAAATTAGATTCTTCAAGTTCACTGTAATCTCTCTTTCTATTATTGGTGGGGTTTTCTAGAGCACCTTCATAAAATCTAAAAAAGAATCAGCAATATTATTGGTCCTGGTCAGGCCGCTCGGTATCAGTCAATTTCCTCTGAATTCAAAACCTGTAGACGGGCGTTTGGAGACATTGTGGCACAATATTAGGACAAACATATCTATAATGCTACCGTTCGTCTATGCTTAGAATATTGTTTCAACATATGGCTTGGTGCTTCTGCTATGAACCTTGAGTTCCTTGATAAAATCCAAAGAAGAATCAGCATTATTAAATGATAGGAATTTTCCATATCCACAAATAAATTGACCCTGATTGACATTGAATGTGAAAGTCTTATGCAAGATGAAGATTAACTTAATGTAGTAATAATATCAACTGAAAGAAATAGTTTGATTATAAAATAAAAGATAAAAAAAAGTGCCAAACAATTTGGCCTCAATATAAAAACCATTCACATATGCTGAGACTGTCCCACATACATGGTTTTGACTGTTTGTTCATACTTATAATTTATATTCGATATTATGTTTTTCGATAACGCGATAAGTTTTTTTCTTCCATATATATATATATATATATATATATATATATATATATATATATATATATATATGTTATAAAAAGGCTTAAACATTAATATTCCATGGTTATAATTTACTAAATTGGAATCGTAATTACGATCCAATTCATCAGACCTACAAATTCAAAAAAGAAATCGGAAAAAATAACTCAGGTTATAAAAAATAAAATTTTAGTGAAAGTGTATGTACGGGAGTGGGATATATATATATATATATATATATATATATATATATATATATATATATATATATATAAGAGTATGAGTTCAATACCCGGTTAAGGCAGTGGAGAACTTTCAGAGGGAAAATTAGCAGGAGATAACTGATAACTGACATCCATCAAACATGGCACGTGGAACTAGAACAGTCTACCCCAGTGAGCAAAATAAAGTCTTCAGCTCGACATTCCAACCACCTGTAGAAGGCCGGAGCGTACAATGGCCGAAACGTTGTGACAAATATGGCGACAAAGATGAGGACAATAGTCCGACTAATGTAAATACTATATATATTGACCATTAATATTATCTATCTATTTATATATATATATATATACCAGTATTCCTTATTGGCGGCCACAATCTAAGCAACATAATATATGGAACCAGTAGTACTCCTGTAGAAGGTCGTAAAGGAAAGCGAGAAGAAAGGACTAAACATCAATTGCAAAGAGAGAGAGAGAGAGAGAGAGAGAGAGAGAGAGAGAGAACGTGTGTGTGTATGGCTGTTAGCAAAAAGAACAGCCCAACATGCAAATTACGAATTAGAGATACCAAAATCAAACAAGTACAAAAAATGTAAATATCCGGGAAGTGTTTTAAGAAAGAACGAAAAGTGCCACACTGAAATCCGAAGGCGCATTAAATAGCGAAAGATGCCTTTCAAAAGTTAAGCAAAGTATTAAGAAATAGAAACGTTTCGTTAGAAACAAAGAAAAGAGTACTGAACTGGTCAGTTATCTTATATGGCAGTGAATGCTGGAAAATCTCCTCACAGATAAAAGAAACAGACTTGAAGCAACAGAAGGATGATGAGAATACCATGAACCGAATATGTGAAAAACAACGAACTTTTATAGACCCAAAAAGGACACTTAATGGATAGCGGCTCGGTTTGATGAATCGGAGAGTCTACCGCAGAAAGAAATGGAAACCTACTTCGGGAAAAAAAACTGCTTCGTCAGTCATGTATCGAAAGATACATGATTCCTTAAGCGTGTATTACGCATGGCACATAATTTTTTTTGCTTAATATCAGAAAGAAACAGTTGAAATTTTCTAGGGCACATAATGAGGAAAGGAGGCTTAGAAAATTTGACACTCACTAGACATATTGTAGGCAAGAGAGACAGATGGAAACCATACATAAACTACCTAACGAGCTTGAGGAAATGGATAACAGAACAAGGATTAAGAGAGATAACAAACAGATTACGACAGGAAATCGTGGAGAGACATGATCGCCAAAGTCCTGAAGGGACACGGCACACAGAAGAAGAAGTATCTTGCAGTGTTGCGCAAATGTACACCGAGCCTTGCGTAGAAAGATATAAAAAAGTAAGACTGTCATTTCCCGTACGATCACCGAAGTTAAGCAACATCGAGCCTGGTCTGTGTCAAGATGGGTGACCATTTGGGAATACCAGTTGCTGTAAACTTGGACGTTCGGGTGTTATGAAGGGCTTGCGGCAACATCACGTTTAAATATCGGTCCCGTACGATCAACCAAGGTAAGCAACATCGAGCCTGGTCAGTATCAAGATGGGTGACCATTTGGGAATACCAGGTGCTGTAATCTCGGATGTGTGGGTGGTGTAATGGATAATGGCTCGCAATTGTTAATTGGAGAGCAGCGTTCCAATTTTAGTTAGGTCCGTTACAATCGCGTTATATAAACCATGGATATTTGCGCGTAAATATCCTTGGGAAACGTATGAACCCATCTCGTCTCCCTACAAGTATGGGTTAAATAGTAAAACTTGTATCATTAAAACCATTATTATCTCCAAAAAATAAAAATAATCTAAAATAAAAATGAGTACAAAATATTTAGATTTTGGCATTAAATAACCCATAGAGGTGTCGATAGGTTGGTAAACAAAAACAACCAATTAATCTTGTAGTTTGTATCGATTCAGTGTCTTCGTCCTCCCGGGATGTATATGACTTTGTGAATCGATACAGTTCCTTTATCAGAGATCAAGGTATTCAAATGAGTCAAAGTCTGGGAAAGGTTTTCTGATGGATGATGAAAGGAAATATATATTGATGTTATACTATGATGATGTAGGCTCAATATGGCAAATGTAATAAAAGGAGTGGTTTGGTGACATTAAACGCCATCATGGCACTCCTTAGAAGGACGAAACGCAAATTGGGTTGTGAGGAATTGACTTTCCTAGAACATCGAGAGTCATATTAATAAAATCATTTAATCACCCTAGAAAATTTTTTTTCTGCCTGCCATCAGCATGGGTGACGCTAGACTCCGGGAGAGCAACACACTGCACCTTCTTGGCTTCACGTTTTCTACTGACTTGAAGTGGAACGATTACATCGAATCACTAGATGCATCTACTGAAAGGAAAGATCACTGTATCGAGCCAGACAATTTTTCTCGTCCGAATATATCTTACACGTTTACAAATTCGTCTGTGCATTGAATACTTCTGCCATATCTGGTCTGGTGCTCCAGCTTTACATCTCAAGGTTCTTGACCAAATCCAAAGATATATCCTGTCATTACCCCAGATAACTAATGGACCATTCTTCAACTATCTCTTTTCTGATTCTAAGTGCAAGTATCTTTTTTTTAATTTCCCTTAAAATTTCCTCATTGTTTGCATGTTCCATTAATGGTATTCTTCGCTTCCTTCTGGAGAACCCCATCTCTGTTGTCTGAAATGACATTAATGAAAATTTTTGGTTTGTTAGAGGATATAATTATATTTAGTATTGATAGAAATTATAAACTAAGATAATAATAGCTGATTATTTTACTGCTTATACTTTTTATTCATTGAATATTGCTGCCATATCTGGTTTGGTGCACTGGCTTTACGTCTCAAGATTCTTGACCAAATCCAAAGAAGAATCTGTAATGTACTTGATCCAGACCAGGCATCTTGACTTCAGTCACTTTCTCACTGATGTGACATGGTTTTCCTCTGTCTTTTCCACAAATATTTTCATGGCAACTTTTTTGACAAGCTTTTTTTCCCCTGGTGCCAAAAATACATGAATTTAAGTGTGCTACTAGATTGGCATTTAGGTCCCACTCTTTTACTGTTGATATATAGCTAAATGTCACCTATACTTCAACAGTTTTTTCTCACACTTCCCACCTGTGGAACTCCCTTTTGTTTTTTTTGTTGCTTCCCTGGTAGCTATCGGAAGTAATGACATATCAGAAGTAATGACATTCCCATATCTGGTTTCTTGTTCATGTTGGCCATCATGTCCATGATAGCGGCCTTCAACAAGTCTAGGTTATGGTCATGTCACACTGAAAAACCGGTTATTATATGATCACCGAAGTCAAGCAACATCAAGCCTGGTTAGTATCTAGATAGGTGACTGTTTGAGAACACCAGTTGCTGTAAGTTGTCCAAACTTATAGCAACTGGTGGGCGATGTAATAGATAACTGCTTGGAATTGGAAATCTGAGAGTCAAGCTCCAATTCCAATCAAATTCATTATATTCATTTACATGCAAATACCCTTAGGAATGGTATGGATCCACCTCTTCTCACCCCGACTATAGGTTAATTTGTAGGACTTGTATCAGTAATTAATTATCTCCAAAAACTTTCTTAAAATCTAAAAATATTTTCTGGCTTTAAACAACGGTGCTTGGAGAATAACCTGCACAATAAACTCTTTGCAGTTTGGCACAAACTAGGAGACTAGAAGTTGGCTTTCAGAAAATCTCAAAAGGAAGTAGTAGTACTTGCCCTCTTATGCATTGGCCACACGAGTATAAGCCATTTGCACTTGTTAAAGAAGGAAGACCAGCATGTGAAACGACATAACACTATTAAACATATATTAACTGAATGTTCAGATTTTGTTTTCTCAAGACAAAAATACTATAATATAAACATACATGAGCTTTTTGAAAAAGCAAAAATGGATGCCATGATATTATTTCTTAAAACAGTGGGCCTATAACGAAAAATATAAACAAAATAAGAATCTAAATGAAAACTGATTTACAAACTGATTTCTTACAAAGAATATAAATTCTATTCATATGAATCTATTTTTAAAAAAAAATCTTGTCAGTAAATAACCCCATTGAGGTTGATATACCATAAAACAAAATAAATCCAAATAAACTGGCCTTAAATAACTTGTAAAATGTTAATAAGATGTAAAAAAAAAAAAAAATAAATCAATCAAGCAACTAGCAAATCTTTACTATTGTGGGATTGCCATTTGGTCTTCTCATCAATAAATACAAATCACAGCCATCTTCTAACATTAACAATTATGTGCTCAGGCTGAAAAAAAATCCCTGACTGTAGGCATAGAAAAAAGAATGTGAATGTTGAGTTTTATATTTAAATGCAAGGATTTAACATCCATAATACAGCGTTTTAGCCTTCCTGAGCATTGTTTCTACTTCATAATTTTGTTTGTTACTGTTAATAAGTTAGCACATGTTATATCCTGTCATTACCCCAGATAATTAATGGACCATTCTTCAACTATCTCTTTTCTGATTCTAAGTGCAAGTATCTTTTTTTTAATTCTCCTTAAAATTTCCTCATTGTTTGCATGTTCCATTAATGGTATTCTTCGCTTCCTTCTGGAGAACCCCATCTCTGTTGTCTGAAATGACATTAATGAAAATTTTTGGTTTGTTAGAGGATATAATTATATTTAGTATTGATAGAAATTATAAGCTAAGATAATAATAGCTGATTATTTTACTGGTTATGCTTTTTATTCATTGAATATTGCTGCCATATCTGGTTTGGTGCTCTGGCTTTACATCTCAAGATTCTTGACCAAATCCAAAGAAGAATCTGTAATGTACTTGATCCAGACCAGGCATCTTGACTTCAGTCACTTTCTCACTGATGTGACATGGTTTTCATCTGTCTTTTCCACAAATATTTTCATGGCAACTTTTTTGACAAGCTTTTTTTCCCCTGGTGCCAAAAATACATGAATTTAAGTGTGCTACTAGATTGGCATTTAGGTCCCACCCTTTTACTATTGATATAGCTAAATGCCACCTATACTTCAACGGTTTCTTTTCTCACACTTCTCACATGTGGAACTCCCTTCTGTTTTTTTGCTTCCCTGATAACTACAATTTTCAAAAATTTAAATGTAATATCAATCGCTATCTTCTTAAAACCCATTCATCTTTTGCCCTTTCCTATCCTCCATATTCTCAGTTTTCTCTTTCACTGCTTATAATCCCCTGTGCACTAGTGGCATACCCATCTTGTTTCTGGTGAAATGATTTAAAAAGAAAAAAATGTACTCTGTAGCTGAATATGGTATGCTGATCTTAGTTTTCTAGGTTGACTATCAACTCTCCTTATTTTTCTAGTAATTTAGCACATGTGTTATATCCTGTCATTACCCCAGATAACTAATGGACCATTCTTCAACTATCTCTTTTCTGATTCTAAGTGCAAGTATCTTTTTTTTTAATTCTCCTTAAAATTTCCTCATTGCTTGCATGTTCCATTGGCATTTAGGTCCCACCCTTTTACTGTTGATATAGCTAAATGCAAGCGCCAATTCTACTCCAACAGTTTCTCTTCTCACACTTCCCGCCTGTGGAACTCCCGTCCATTTACTTGCTTCCCTGATAACTATAATCTTCAAATATTTTAAATGCAACATCAATCGCCATCTTCTATCTTCTTGAATCCCGTTTATCTTTTGTCCTTTCTTCAGTCCTTCCAATTCTCTGTCTTCTCTTTTAACTTCATTCCCTGTAACGTCTCGCGTACTCGTGGCATTAACGTCTTGCTTGGGGTCAAATGATAAAAATACATAAAAAATAAAATGAAAATGTTAGAAAAAGAAAATTCGAGTCAGATATCCCGGCAGTCTCCCGAGGCGTTTAATGTGCTTATTGTTTCTTTGTTTATTGGGGACTTTCCGTGTATCGGCAGGCGATGGCTCACGTAACGGGAACCGGTGCGCGTACCATACTTTGAGTAGCACTGGTCTTGGCGATGTTGTCGCGACCAACAGAATCTTAACCTCTGTAACGAGCATGCGCGGAAACGTCCTCGAACTGCGTGTGTGTGTTGTCGCCGGGCACACCTGAGAGTAACATAATGGACTCGACCAAGGACTACAAGAAGAAGACGCGCGAGTCGCTTGGCGTCTTTTCTTGGGCGACAAAAGCCGTTGCGGTCGGTCGTCCGTCGGCAGCAGTCGTGGGTGCCGTTTTGCTAGTTTGCTGTCGTAAAGTGTTGTGTCGCAAGTAGGCGTTCGTTTTTGTGTCGCGTTTGTTTCAGGGCTGCAAGAAGGCGTTAGTTTTTGTGTCGCAAGAAGGCGTTTCTCCCACCCCCCGTTTTCTCGCACAACCTCTTCAAGTGTATAGTCAAACGTTATCTTTCCTACATATCCTTCTAATGTACGCGTCTTACCTTCTCCTCTTACGCTCATACAACAACCTCATTCAGTAACCCTCTACCTTGAGTGACTCTTGCGCCTTGTATTGGGAGAATAATTATTAAAACAAAAGAAACAGAAGGATTGAGAAGGAGGATATAGAAATCACCACCGGCTGTCTTCTTTACGTCAAGGGTTTATCGGAAA